GTTACTCTGATTTTTAAACAAAGCATAAACAAAATCGGTCTTTTCTGGCCGTAAAAATGGGGATGTCACAGTAGACCTAACAATGGAGCGGGTTTGGAGCGAATCAACATTGATCAAACCCTTTTAACAAATTTCAAAATCCAATCCAAACCCGCTCCATAACTCACAAGGTTTTTTTGAATAATCAAACACATTTTACTTAATTCTTAAAATAATATCTCTTAAATAAAAAATGTCTACTACAGTTTAATTAAAAAAATAATAATTCGTAATAAACCAAATGTTGATTTAGATAGCACATTATGTACTCGAGGACTTTCGATTGGAATTAAAATCACTATTGCAACAATTTTCGATTGATTTTTAACTGGCGATTGAAGTGATAGAGAATAGCAATTGCAAACTTTCTTCCAGTGAATAAATGATTGTTAATGATTTATAAATGGAACTGACGATTGCTTGATGAAATATAAATGAAATGACATCATGATTCTCGGTAGAAGACTGGAAGTCTAGAAGTCAAGTCGTCAAGTCCTAGGTAAAATGGTTTGGCCTCTGGCCTTTGCCCTTTGGACTTTCGATTAGAATTAAAATTAAATGTTAAACAGTATACAATATAAATGTATAATTCTAAAATTTATATGGAGTGGGTTATAAACAGATTTTATCGGTGATCATCCATACCCGACCATTTTAATAAAATGGTTAGCGGTACGGGTCGTTAAGAGGTAAACGAATCAAAATCTTGTTGGATTAGGTGTGTTCTCAAGAATGTATGCTTCAGCAACTATCAACATATGAGTCAGATTAATTAGGGTCACATCGAGATTCCTCATATGAAAGTTCTCAAGGAACTGACCATATGACTTTGGAAGCGACAGAAGAACCAAATCATTGGCTTGCACCTTTGAGAATACGACACACATTCTTCTAATGATCATTGGCTTGCACCTAAGTAACTAGATTGTGATTTTAGAAGGCTCTAGTACTTTATAGCATTATACTTTTAATGTAATTATGTCCTATCAAACCCGTTCGACAAACGGTCATCCACCACAAAAAGAAGCGGTGGGTGAAAATGACATTCATTTAACGGTCATTTTATAAGTCATTTCCTTATATCTCTTAGAGTGTGGCTTCATGAATGAGGCATACTATTGATTTGATTGACTTTTAGTTATACATATAGTATTTAAACATTTTATATATGTATAGGGTGTATTTTAAACATTTTAAAATCTTCAAGGTTTAAATTTAATTTTAAATTAACTATTAGTTCATTAATATTTTAAACCAGTTTGTGATTTATCTTTATCTTTTAATTAATCATTTAATTAAATTAATTAAATCATTTAACCAACTATAAATTTAATATTTATATTTTAATTAATCATTTGATTAAATGTATTATTAAAATCCATAAAGGATAATTCAATTTAACTATCTTATAACTAATTTTGGGTTTCCTTATTTATCTCCTTAAAATTCGAATTAGGGTTTTAATCATAGCTAGCATATTAAAATTCGGATTTTAACAGTTCAAGCCAGATAATCACTAAAAGGCAACCTACATTCATATTATGCAGATAAAGGGCACAAAAA